ATCAAGACTAATATGGTCCAGCAAACTCTCTCTATATTGGTGATATTAAGATTATTTTTATTTTTCCAGTTCATGAGGACAGTCTTCAATTTCCCTGATTTGTTACCATGTTCATAATTTTGCCAGTGAAGTCTTTGTGCTAAGAATTGAGTTCTTTTATTAATAATTTCATTTAATTCTAATTTTGCTTTACGTATTTCGTGAAGCCCATTTAAGCTGCGGTACCTTAAATCCGACAAGTTACCCCGATAAGCCAGTAACCCCACTTTGCAGTACAGGCCACATGTCTCTCTCTGCTCCCACGATGCCTCGGTTCACCCGTCACCACACTATATTTTTTCTTTAAAGTTTTTACTCCAAAAACCAGAAAATTAATTAACAAAAATTATTATTTGGTAGGATTGTGAACAAATTCATTGAAATTCAGTTCTTTCTTATGGGAAAAAATGCCTTGCTTCATGTACAAATTGGTTCACGACCACTTTCCTGGAATAGATTGTGTTCGTGAACTTCAGGCACCACTGTATTATAATAATATACAGCCATGGAAAAAATTAAGAGACAACTTTTCATTTTTAATCAAATCTGCATTTTCAAAACCTGGTTTAATCGTGAGTCTGGCAGAAGGCTGTGCTGAGCAGCAGGCAGCTTCCAGGTTCAAAATTTCTAACACAGCAGTACACAAAAATAAGGTGAATAGCTGATCACCCCTCATTACCTATGTGTGGTGTAGGGAATGCGGGCTGGGGGGGGGGGTGTAGCTGCAGGGCAGCGGGCATCAGGCAAGGCACGCCCGGACACGCGGCGCCAACACCGAGGGGAGCACCACCGCCCCCCACCGCAGCACCCCCCGTCCCAACCCGAGAAGGTGTCTGGGGCTGGGTATTAAAAAAACTGAGTACAGATGGTCACACCACCGTTATGTTCAGCCGAGGCACCAAACAGTAAAAGAGATGATTGACAAACTTATCATATAGGAGTGTGGACTAAGGGAGAAAACAATGATGGTGAATGGTTGAGGGAATGATGATGCTTAAGTGACGAGGTATTGTTACATAATAAGAAAATGTATAAAAATTGGTGTAAAACAGTATCGGACACACTTGTAAGTGTCCGGCCTTGGTTGTAACGTCATTGTTGCAATAATGGCTGACTCTGAATATCTACAGAAGCGGCTCTTGACTCCTGATTGGCAGGGAAGAAAAAACCACAACAGATGCCGCTGGAAAAATGAAGGAAATGTCACTGTCAGATTCAACTTGATGAATCTACTCACACTGATTTTTAAATTTTAAAGTATTTGGTAGTATCATATTAATGTTATGTTGCTATTTTAATCGGTACCCGCGGGGTCTTGAACGTATTAAAAAGCATTTAATTTTCTATTCTCAAAATAAAACCTTAAAAGTACTGAATTTCATTTACAATATACAGTATATACACTCACCTAAAGGATTATTAGGAACACCATACTAATACGGTGTTTGACCCCCTTTCGCCTTCAGAACTGCCTTAATTCTACGTGGTATT